TCCTGGAGCAAGAGCCATGCAGGTTGCTGCTAATTTTCAGCTTGTAAGCAATGTGTAACAGGAGCAAATGAATAAGAGCCGAGAGAGAGCAATGGTTTTTCTTAGCGCGTCTGATCTATATATGACGGCAAGCATTAACGGGCCACAGAGTAGATGGATCTGAATGATTACTTCTCAGATGACAGAAACAGAATACAGAGCAGCTGTGTAATATTTTGTTAAAATTGAAAATTGAATAGCTGTCCTCAGTGGTATGTCATTCCTTTAACGCTGTGCCTATTAAAGAGCTATGTGGTGGTACAATCATTCATTTTCAAAGAGATTGAAATTGAATTATGGAGCATGAGAAGAATGAATTAGATACACTACAGGTTCTTTTGTTTCTGACCTGTAATCAAAGCTATTTGTGTGCCAATTTTCAACCTTTGTAATATATTTGTTTGGTTCTTTTAGTATCATAATTTCATTTCTGCACATTAGAATTGATCTTTTTCCTTTAAATGAAAATCTATTGTTATTTCACCAAGTTTGAAATTTATTTACAACAAATCTTAAGCTTTCAAAATGCACATCATATTGTTAGATGTTAGTATTTATTTAACAAAGATGGAGCCACAATATATATTGCATGCAATATATAAGAATTTCAAATTTATTGTTAGCGTACCTGGAATCAGAGGTCGACTAGCACAATAAATTAAGAATTCTAGTGATTTCCGAGTTGCAGTTTATTGATTCGACTTGAATAGATGAGCTTGTTATTTTCTCTTTGATAGATATGACATTTATTATTTTGGGAGGGTTTTATATGAGCTCATAAAACATAGAATGTTATATTGAGTACCTGAGTATTAGTGCCTAAAAGCCCTTGAGTTTTGATGCCCTGGGGCTCTTCAGGGCATTAATCCTTCTTTTCCATCAAACCCAATTGTGGGAAATTGGTTGTTTTTTCATCTCTGGCTGATTGATTGGGGCATCATTGTTATTTGCTTAAAGTTTCACTTCTCTGTGAAAGAGTTATATCACTGTATAATACTTTGAACAGTACCATCTGCTTTTCAAATTCATTAAAAAGTAGATGGTATCAAATTATAGATCTTATTACTAATACCATTAACCAAATTATAGGTCTAATTCAAACATCCTGGTGTGCTCTACTCACCTCAAAGTCAATGTGATTAAATGTTTGTGATATGTGCCAGTCAACTACTGCTCAACTAACATAGACTTCTGCTAGGTGTCTGCAGAAGTCTATGTAGAGACCAGATTATTGTAGCCATCGTTTTCCCTTTGCTTCCTCATGATGGGTAATCGTAACACCAGTCAGAGGGTGGCACACAGCACTTAAAGAAAACAAGATTTGGACAATGGGGATAAGAAAAGTGCAACAAAATGAGGAAACTTTATACTGCTTTTTTCTCTTCTTTTCTCTTATTTCTAGCCTCTTCTGAATGTATAAACCATTATCACCCCCTAATTGAGATAAACATTTAATAAAAATTAGCATATGATATTTTTAAATTGGTCAAATTAGCCTGCATACATGTAAGGTCATATAGAGCTTACATAATGCCGTAATGGGGTTTACATAAGAACAGGATCTAAACTTTTTATACAAGTATAAAAACTAAATTCAACAACATGGTTTTTCACATTTTAATTGTGACTCAGAAGAGAAGATTTACACCCATTGATGAAAGCTTTTTAGACCACAGATTACTTGGAACGTTGTTTCACATCTTGTGGTTAAAATACAATCTCTAGGAATGTCAATAAAAAAAATATTGGCTCTTTTAATCTCAGGTTGCGAATGACTGGAGGATGCTCAGCATTATCACAATCCTGTGAAGAATCCATTTAAATAAAGCCTTCTGGGAAATAGTAGCTTTGGCTCAGCAAACATTTCTTTCAGAACGAAATTCCTTTCTCCTAAATTGTAAAATGATAAAATAGACCGTTCTCTATAATTGTCAAAAGGCAAAAATCAGAAAGAATGTCTTGTTTATGACTCTATCCCTAGGCCTAGTGTGTTTGTGTGTTTAAAGGAAGCAAATCTGTGTCTTAGCATTTATATTCCACCAAGTACAGGGAAACCCTTTTACCCGGCCATGCTGGGCACTTTTCACACTTAAAGTCCATCACCAATGAAGGAACAAGTCATGCAAAAATCAAAACAAGTGAGGACAAGGGGCACAGAGTTGGAGACAGGCTTTTGTGAGAGACTGGGCGAGAGTGTGAGGGACGGGGGGGAGTGGCAGGATCATTTGGGGTGCAGAGACCAGGCAGCGGTACACAGAGAATCACTATGGTGACAGCAATCAGGGGGCTCAGGGGAGTGAGGCTGGGTCAGAGAGGAAGGCTTGAGAGGCAGCTGACTGAGGAATCAGCCCTCACTTTGGATGATTCAACTGACAGCTCCCCCCAGGGCTGTGCCGGACCACCTGTCCCCAGAGACCATGAGCTTTACGAGACAGAGATGTGGCTAAAGCAGTCCTTTTCTAAGTGAAGAAGAAAATAAAAAATTAAATAAATTTAAAAAAAACACTGAATCAAAGCTAAATCAGTACAACAGTGCCACAACACAGCAATGTTGATGTTTTCACCTATTCTGCAGCAGATGAAAATGCTACAAAAGCAGGACTGCGTGCTAATTTAAAACGTGTAAACACTGTTATATGGTGCGAGTTTTGGGATATTTTTCACCTTCTCTCTTGACATAAATACTGGTTAAACCAGGAGTTTGTTAACAGTTCAGTTTGTAATTCCGCAATCGTTTCATCCCTTTCACGATCTTTGTCTCTCCATCCCTCTGCTCCACCCCCTCCTCCGTCGCATGTGCTGGACAGCAGCCACCTAAACAGATGGTCCAGTGTCAATAGGCAGCTATTAACTGGCCACTTCCCTGACTCTAATTCAAGACAGCGAAAAGCACATTTAAAGAACTGGGAACCAGTCCTTTGCCATGTAGATGAAGTTAGCAGTAAGACAGGTCAAAGGCTTGATTCGGGAAAATGATCCTATTAACATTTATAGAATATAATCCTTATACAGTGTTGGTTGATTTCGAGAACATTTATACTTACTTTCTCCTGCAGCAGATTAGATATAGGTTGGCTTGTAGCATCAAAGTAAACAAATACTGTTTCAAATGAGCGTAAAGCCACATCGGAAGGTCAGATGGCTGAAATAAGGTACCACTGTTTTTCTTTTTTCTACATATAAATACAAATATATCTGGAAATAATTCTGGTCAGGACAAATATAGACAATAATCAGTAAAACCTAAACGAGAAAGAATTAAGGACCTTCAAAAGTTGGTGTTAGCCAATTTTCCTGAAGAGGCCAGGTTCATCTGTTCAGACAATGTATGTATAATTACAAAAGCTTTCCTGCGTTTCGGGAGGGAGACCAGTTCTGGATCCCAGAGAAGAACATGTTTTGGTTGGAAACGCAAATCACAGCCAGAAAGAACAAAAACTAAAGACAATGTGAGGAAAATGCCAGAAGGTAGTAAGAGATTGTCATTATTCACAGTGAAACAAGCCTTTGCTAAGATAGGCTGAAAGGCCACTCAGTAATGAAGAAGCCATAACTCCAGAAGCAACATAACAAGATGAATTATAATTTGGATTCTAAATGCGGGGCACACATTAGGAGCGCTTCAATTTTTCTCATCCAATGATATGCATCATTCTGAAAACTTTGCAAAAGTTACATGTGTCATGACACTCTGTGTCAAGAAAGAACAGAGTATTAGACTCCAGCTGTATATAGCTTTATCAGTAGTATTGGTGCTTCCTAATATAACAGGTTTTCAAAGGATTGCTGGGTGTTGTGCCTTGGAGCACCGGCCACTGACCAGACCCAGCAAGTGTGGATCGAAAATAATAGGTTCTTATTTTTTGACACATGTCTGATGCTGCTAATGTGTGAGACACTTAATTTTTGGAGACATGTCCTGTGGTCTGATGAAACTGAAATTGAAGTGTTTGGCCATAATGAGCATTGTTATATTTGAAGGAAGAGGGGGGGGATGCTTGCAATCTTTAAACATTATCCCAGCTGTGAAGTACCGGGGCTGTGACATCATGCTGTTTGGTTGCCTTTGAAAACTGTGCACAAATATTGAATCAACTTCTAATCAATTTTCAAAATGGACAGTGAGCCTAAGCAAGCCTTCACATTAGTTACAAAACAACAAGAACTTCAGTGTTTTGGAGTGGCCATCTCAAAGCTCTGATTCCGGCCCCATTGAAATTGTCAAGGCAAAAGCAACAGACCCGTCTCAGTTACATAAGCTCTGTTCAAAAGAAACTGGCTGAAACTGCAGCAAACCATTGTTAAAAGATCCAAAATATTTCAGTTTCAGTTTCACCAAATACTAAAATTTTCTAAAAACAAATTGCAATTACCTCTGTCATTATTATGACACTGAGCAAATAGTTTTGGTGATTCAAGCTTACCGAAAACAGGAACGGTTCAGTCTGAAAAGAGATTATGTAGAGCATGTGCAAATTTGCACACCATTTGCATGTTTGTTTAAGTTTAAGGAATAATCGTTTATTTTCTGCTAATTCATGTTCTACATTGTAGCATAAACATTATGACACAATACAACCACAACATTTGTACCCAGATTTATCATAGCATGAGAGTCTGCAGATGAAATCAGAGCTCCAAAAATACCAAGGGTGTTAAACTTCATGCAAGTGTGACTCATGTTTTTCTGTGCTTGTTTGTTGAGGTGCCGGGATCTCCTGCCATGGCTGTGACTGGCTGCTTCGTCATCCCCCGCCACACCCTGCTGAGGAGAAAGGACAACCACCTGACCTTCACGCTCAGCCCAGCCTGATTTTCTCTCAGAGGTATCCAAAAACCGAACTCTGCTGGAGTTCCTTGTGACGTCGCAGGATGATTACTTTACTTCCACTTTAGCAATATGATATTTCTAATTACCGACAACATTGCTCCGCAAACCCCTCTGACTTGTTAGGAAAGCTTTAGAGTGGCGTCTGTGTGGTGTTCCTGCGTGTCTCAGGAACAGACACCTCAAAAGACGGAGGAAAAGAGGAAAATGTAAATGACGAGAGATGCCCAGAGAGGACAGGATGTGGCGGCGGAGCTGCTGGAACAGTCTGCCCACCTTGTGGTCACACAGTGAACTGTAGCTGCCTGAACGCATGGGCGACTGGGGGAAGAGAGAGCGATGCGGAGGAGAGCGATGGAGTTAGAGAGGGAGGAAGCCAGAAGGAGCGAGGACAGAGAGAGCGAGAGAGAGCAAAAAGGGAGGGGAGTTTAAACTAAGTGCTATGTTTTGGGACAGGCTAATCTGCTAGCGAGCAGTGTGAGGATCGGAGCGTATTGTGTGAGCCAGTGTGCGGGGGACAGATAAGGGAGCCAGCCAGCCCGACCCACAGACCTACCGACTGCCTGCCTTTAATGTGCTGACTCTGGGGAGATTTTAAAAGACAGCGTATTGACTGCTCGCTCACACGCGTGTTTGTGCGTGCGCGCCGGAGACCCTGGGCTCAAACGCCTCCAACTAACAGCCACAGCCAAGCCAGAAGCGCATCAGCAGACCAGGGAGCGAAAGAAAAAACAAAACAAGAAAAAATAACTAACCCAAAAACAGGACTGAAAAATTACAGCTCCCAAATCAAAAATTAAAGAGGATTTTTTTTTTTTTTTTTACATCCTCTCCTTTTTTCAATTGATTTGATTTTTTTTCTTTATTTTTCTGTGTTCCTGGGACAGAGAGACTGACTCCCGATTCTGAAGAAGAAATCAGGAGGGAGCAGAGAAACTCAAGCGAATCAAAAAAATTAGAAAGACTCAAAGGACAGAACAAAAACCTCATCATCGAATCTGAACATGTTTGAAATAAGCCGAACACTCAACGCTGCTTTGTTGAGCAACGAGGTAAAGATTTCTGGATTCTTTTCCTTATTTGTTGTTCCAGTTGTCCACATTTCACCTGTGTACGTCTGCTGCCAACCATTCTGTCATGTGTGTTGCGTGTGTGTCTTTGCACCCAAAAGATAGGGGGGGTTGGGGGGGGGGGGGTGATTGATAGCAGTATGCTGGTTGGTATGGGGGGGATGCTTCTCACTCATTCTGCTTTGTAATCATTAGCAGAGAGCCAGTGCTTAGACTTTACATCAAAACCAAGGTAGCCATCGAGCCCATCTAACATAGGCTTGCTTGTGCGCACCTTGGGCTGAAACTGTGTGTGCAAGTGTAAGTGTGCACATTCACACACATGCTTCTGTGCAAGAGCAAAGTCTTCTGTAAATCCCCGTCTACCTCCCTTCTTTTTCTTCCAAGTTTCAGTTTTTTTTTCCCCCCTCCAGCATTCCCACCATCCTTCCCACACCTGCTGTTATCTGCTCTCCTTCCCGTCTCTCACACCCCTCTTCCCTCTCTTTCCTCCCTTTTTTTATCTCTGTGCCTGTCCTCCCCTCTCCTCCCGTATCCGTGTATGAGCGTGTGTGTTCTGTGAGCAGCATCTCAAGATGATGGCGAGGTACGGGCAGCTCTCGGGACTGGCAGCCAGTGGCGTGGGCTCCGTCCCCGAGACGCACTCGCCGCTATTTTCCAGGGATCCCCTGTCATCGCCCGCCCAGATGGGCTACAGGTCACCCCTGGTAAGAGGATAGTAGACAGAACAATGTATCTAAATCTATTTAATGAACACAGGGAAGCATTTTTGCCACAAAAGAAACAGGGAGAAAGGAGTTTATATATATATATATATATAAAAAAAATACAGTTGGGTTGTGTGTATTGAAGAAAACAGCAAAAAACAAAAGGTAGAAAGAGCGCAAATCAATTGTGGGATTCTGCCCGTATCCCCAGCGGATTGTATTAGCAAATATTTACATTGTTATGTTTGTTCAATTACGGACGCCTACTCTGTCTTTAGCCTCTGCCATTCAGCTTGTTATCAGGGGAATTTGAGGTGTTTGCGTGAGCATGCATGTGTGAATGAGTGGGTTAATATGTTAACATTTATTTTCTGTCCTTGTTAAAATATTACGGATCTTTCTACATGCATCTGCTTCCGAAAACTTCAAGTAAAACATAAAATAGCAGAATAACCTTTTAGCATCAGCCAGATGACGGATTTCCAATTACGTTTAATTGCAACTCTCATGTCAGTTAAATTCCCAACAAGCAGGGAAAAAAAAACAGGAACATTTTCTACTACCAGAGTCAACATTACTCTGCAATTTACATAGTAAAAAAAATTACTTGAGGGAAAAGAGGCTTGAGAAAATCTTCAGCGTTCAGGCATAAAAAAAAAAAAAGCGTTGAACGAAAATCCCTGACTGGCCGCATAAAAAGCGACACGAAGCTGTGGGTGTCTAATCTGCTGCAAGCTCTTCATTGGTTCGGGCTCCCCTTCAAACTGGCTCAGATCCACACCCTGGAGCCTCCCGGAAGCCTTCATAACCCACCGTCATGCTGCTGCTGCTGACTGTACCGAGGGGTTCCCGTCAAGTCTATGCAAATGCAACGGGTGAGGGTACGTGGTGAAATATCGGCCATGAACTGTACATTTGCTTTAAAATTCTTTAAATCTGAGCACATCGGTGCAGGGCGTTATGTCGGATTCTATGCAAAGCCTTGTGCTTTCAACTGCCTATTTAGACCCACTGTTATCAGTTATTTTCATAAAGGTGCTGGATCATAAATTATTCAAAACAAATTAGCTGAATTTATGGCATAAATGCATTTGAGATAATACTTTGTTGACTAATCTTCTCAGAAACCTTTCAGATAATATTTTCAGGTGACTGACTTAGCAGGGTGGAGCATCGTGAACAGATTAGATGAAAGTAGGATTATGTTATTCCAACCCATTGTTATTAGTAAATGCACAGTTAGATTTTTGGCAAAAAAAAAGGCTTGTTATTGGGTTACTTTTGGAATTTATTTTACGTTTTTGTGTGAGCATTTGTGTAAACAAATTTGTTTGTGTATTTGTTTAAAAGTGTGTGTGTGTGTATGGGTGTGTGGGCGTGTGTGCGTGTGTGTGTATGTCTGGATGATTACTCTGGTTAAAAAAGAGCATCGTTAAAGTGATTAATGGTGCCTTCATTAAGCATAGCAAGATCATTTGCATACATTAGATAAATGTGCTGGAAGATTCTGGCTGCTTTGGCGTGCAGAGTCTGAAAAGCAGGATTTCATTGTATTTTTAAGATGGTGCAATATTGCTTAGTACCATTTAAATATTGCGGCGCATCAATAAATAAGCACATTTTAGGTCAAAGAAACATTTTTGATGTTTGTTAATTTATTGAGACTTACATTTGATCCTGAGGTATTCTGAACAGACACCAAAATGTCATTTTCTTCAGAGACTTGTACGGCAGTGCATGTGTGTTTGTGCAACAAGCTGCGTGTTAAGTGTGTGGGCATCCTGTGGTCACAGCTGTAGGCTAGTGCATTTAAAGGAGCATTCAAAGAAATTAATTTCAAAAGTGATTAACAAGTAGCACACAGAGATGTGCATGATTAATGACAAATATTTCAGCATTCACAATGAGCATTTGCAGGTTCAGTTTGTAGCTGCAGGGAGATTAGGATGACTATTTTAAAAGAAGACTTTAAATTTGTTTATGGGAAATTAATGATAAAAAATCTAATTGCAAAATTATCTGCTGTCACTGACACCCAATTTTCATAACCTCAATCTACAAACATGGTGCGCAACATGCTTCAGAGCTGAATGCTGTTAATTTGAGGAAAGCTCCACTGATTACCCACTGCAGGCAGTTGTCGTTCTCCATGTGACACTAGGCGTTGACAACTACAATCTTTTGTTTCAGCATTCAAAACGAAGGCTTGCACAAACCCCACAAAAACCCCATCCAAAAAAAGGGGGAGGTAAAAATGGTGGTTGGTGGCACAGACTCCGGCAAACATTTGTCACCACAGAGTCTCAGCAGCCAGGAGATAGTTAGAGGTCATCTCTATTTCATAACAATAATTAGCTCCTTCCATCTGTGCTTCTCAGTGCATTTCCCCTTTCCTTGATTGCTGTGTTGTCTGTATCCAGGAAATTAGTTCATTTATGCTCTACAACCCTGCTGTCACCGAGGCACAAACAGGTGCAAGCACAGTGAACAGCGACACTGAAAAGAAAGAGATGCTCAGAGACGGAGAAACACAGAAATGGAGATATGTGCAAATTGCGGGATCAGAAATGATAATCGTGGCCATGAGCACAATGGCGCTTGATTAACACAGTGCTGGCACATAAAATAACAAACGTGGCTTTTGTGAGATGAGAACAATTAGGTGATCGGCTCAAAATTTAAAAGCTGAAAAGTTGAACGGAATAAACACAAGATGGTCCTTTTTGACTGCTTTCAGTCGCAAATTATTTGATGCAGTGCTCTTTCCAGCAAAAAAACCTTTCAGCTACAGGGTTTGTAGAGGGGTAAAAAAAAAAAAAGAAGACATGCTACTGAACCATATCACGCCTATAGCCTATCTCCCACTACAGTACAGCGAGTTATGACCACCCCACTCCACATTTGAGTTCACATTCAGCATCACACGAGCTCGGGCTGTGCAGCTTGTGCGAGTGCATCGTGTCATGTTTATGGTTGATGTGAGCACATGTGGTGTGCTCACATGTAGACACTCGCTACAAAGAGGCGTGGGGGGGAGAGCTCACATTTGTTGGAAGATGTGCGTGTGTGTTGGCCACCAGTGCTGCAGGGAGGGCCTAGTGATCAGCAGCTGAGCCTGCATCCCGCTGGGAGCCATCACTGCAGAATGAAGCAGGTGTCTGCAGGCTTATGTACACCCCTCATCCACATATACACCTTTACTTCCAATACTGTACATAAATGCTGCAAGCCGACTATACGTCCTCCTTTCATTTCTCTTTAGTTTTGCAGTATGCCACTTTATCCCCAGAGATTTTTTACGTGTGGCAATTTTGCTTTATTTTCTATGTTCATCAGCTCGGTGGATGATAGTGCAAAGGTTGTGAATGTGATTTATGCAGTATGAGATGCCATAAACAGAAGGTTCAACACCCAGTGAAAGATCTCTTACATCATCTGTTGAACGATCAAAGAGATTTAATTCTTTGAAGACTAAATGTGTATTCAGAACTAGACAATTAAAACAAACTAACATTATATGTTTAATAAATAAATACTTATTTCTTTATAAGTAAGATCATGTTTTACAAGAAAAAGCTCAATCTCTAATCTCTGAGCAAAAGGGTCACACCCGCCAACAACAGCCAAAGTAGAAGAAGACAAACGGATATTAGTCCCACACTGATTGACAGCTTGTTTTAAATGTATTGATTAACATTGCTAATTTGTGATTATCACAGTTTATGTAGAAGCGGCTTAAACGTCCATAGTGTGTCTGAATTGTTGCAGTTTAATAGGTGGAAAACAACACGGCCTTACTTCCTGCCGTTGTAAGGCCGTGAGCACAACGGCCTTACAACGTTAGTGTCTTAAAAACGAAAAGACGTTTAATTTTAGGAAAAAAATTGTTGCCAGCATACAGCAATGTTTTCTCATCCACTCGGAGTTATTTTGTTTAAAGAGAATAAATTCAGAGAGAATAATGAAACAGACAAGTCTGGAACGAAAAAAAGTGCTGTGTTTGCGAGTCTGTCGAGATATTTTATCTACAAAAACCGGTTATGAAAACAATATCTCTGCAACTGTTTGACACGTTTACAGCTACATCTAGACAGTCCTATTCCCTGAATAAAATAGACATTTTTGTAAGATGCATTAGATCACTCAGCTTTTCTTGTAAAACTGACAGCGATTTCAAAACACGGCTTTATATCTGTATGCCAACCTTTCAAACCCTAACAAAAGAGGTATTAGTTGATACAAGCCCTGTACTGACCTGTCTTCGTCTTTGATAATCTCACTCAGATGGCTTCTGCTCAGCCCTCTCCTTCAGACAAAAAAAAAATCTACAGTGCAAACACAATCTCCTGTCTAAAAGGACATTAAGTGGTCTTTTTTTCCCTTATTTAATAAGAGATGCTCTTTTTTGTCACGCCTGAACAGTTAAATACACTACTGTCATTTTAAAAACAGTCACATGAAGAAAAACCTGCTTTTTTGTTCACAGCTGAGCGCCGCTTCGAAGCAGAGGCTCTGACAATACTGCCGATAGATGAGCGATTGTCTGCGTATGCAATCGTGGCATGTTGATGAACAACACTGTTTCGTCTTAAAATTGATAGTTCCAAAGCCGGGTTCGTTTTTATTGATTCTTTAATTGCCGGGGATGAGGCAAAGTATCTGCCGTTACCATGAATAAATGATGCAAAGAGGACTTGTGCATTAGTGCAAAGAAAGGGAGACCATTGAAATTACTCCAATGTTGGATATGTTTGACGCCACTTGCAGCGCCGTCAAACATATCCAACATTTTGAGTAATCTTTGTTTCTTTAAAACAAAAATTTACATGCGATCTATTTAATTTTATTTGAAGCAAAATGTTTATTTTTTTTCAGCTAAAATAATATGCTTTAATTTTTATTTTGTAAGATAGAATTAAGTAAAAATTTAAAAATTTCTTAGAATAGTTTCCCCTTTTCTGCTCTTTGTAGACTTACACGGAGTAAAACAAAGTGATATT